TATCATATCATAAGTATTAAGTATTATATCATATCATAAGTATTAAGTATTATATCATATCATAAGTATTATCTATTATATTATATCATAAGTATTAAGTATTATATTACATCAAAAGTATTGAGTATTATACTATATAATAAGTATTAACTAATTTAAGTTTATATATCTATCCGACTCTTGATCAATGGTTTTGTGATTAATAAAACATGGTTAATTTTCCAAATATCATTCTTTCGGTACAATTCATTACATACAGTTTGCAGTCTATCTAATCTAATTTATATAAAAAATAGATCATAGAGCAAACCTTTCATGATAGAGAAAAAGAATGAAAACATTTAAGAACAAGGTCAAATAAGAACAAACGCGTCTAAACGTGTTCTCTCTCGAACCAAAAGCCCGAAAAATGCGTTTATCAAATGTTTGTTTAGATTAAACGTTCAATTATATCTATAACATCGATATGCCCACGTTAATACAATCTCAATTGGTCTTAGAACACTTATGGACATATAGAACAAGGGATAGATTAGTAGGATAACAATGACCCTGTAATTTTGGATAACGACGACCCTGTAATTTTGGATAACAACGACCCTGTAAATATGGATAACAACAACCCTGTAATTTTGGATAACGACGACCCTTTTGACTGAAAATGAACAGGAATTCAGTACAGAGCGAGGAAAAAAGTTACTGTGCTTGCTGTGTTTCACTTTTTTATATAATTGTCTGATTTATTAATTTATCTGGCAGTTAATTTATTCATTTATTCAATTCTCTATCAGCTACTATATTTATTTGATTACTTAATTACCTTTCAATTCGTTTATTTATTTTTCTATATATATTTCATCTATATTCATTTATTCATCTATTTATTAATTCAATCTTTCTTCATTCATCCATCAATCCTATCCACTCCTTCTAATTTTCTTTTATTTTTTACGTTACACTCCCTCTACATCTATATTTATTCATTTTTTCATCTATAATTCCTTTACTTCATCTATCTTCCTCCATTCATCCATCAATCTCATCCATACCTTCTAATTTTCTTTTATTTTTTACATTACACTCCCTCTAAATCTATCTTTCTTCATTTTTTCATCTATAATTCCTTTACTTCATCTATCTTTCTTCATTCATTCATCCATATCCATACCTTCTAATTTTCTTTATTTTTTTATGTTACACTCCCTCCACATCTATCTTTCTTCATTTTTTTCATCTATAATTCCTTTACTTCATCTATCTTTCTCCATTCATCCATCAATCTCATCCATACCTTCTAATGTTCTTTTTTATTTTTTACATTACACTCCCTCCACATCTATCTTTATTCATTTTTTAATCTATAATTCCTTTACTTCATCTATCTTTCTCCATTCATCCATCAATCTTACCCATACCTTCTAATTATCTTTCTTTCTTTTTTTTATGTTACACTATCTCTACATCTATCTTTATTAATTTTTTCATCTATTATAATTCCTTTACTTCACCTATCTTTCTTCATTCATCCATCAATCTCATCCTTACCTTCTAATGTTCTTTATTTTATTATTATTTATTTTTTTTTTTTTACATTACACTCCCTCCACATCACTTACCTTCAGATTGACCCAAGGCAGGAAGAGGGCGACGGTGAACAGGCCGATGAGAGGACCGGAGAGAGCACCCGTGATGGCAAAGAGCGCCCTCAGGAAGGACCTCCCAGCGTCGACACCACCAGACCCAGGACAATGGCCACGATACCCGAGAGGAGGACTGGAAAGGAGGTGGTGAGGGAAAAGGCTTGTATTGTGTGTGTTCCTAGGTACGTAGAAGGGGAAGGACGCGGTTTGTATGGGTGTGTCTGTGGGGGATGTTGTGTTTGGGTGTGTGTGTTTAGGGGTGGTGTGGGGGTTGTGGGTGTGTGTGTGTGTGTGTGTGTGTGTGTGTGTGTGTGTGTGTGTGTGTGTGTGTGTGTGTGTGTGTGTGTGTGTGTGTGTGTGTGTGTGTGTGTGAAGTGTGAAAGGACTTTGGTGTGTGTGTGTAGGTATTTTGCCTATACTTTGCGTCTGTGGTGAAGCAAAGGGGATTTCCATTCTCTATTTCATTTGTCTTCTTATCTGTTAATTCCTTAATTCCTATATTTATCTGTTTGCATGCATATATATGCGTAACAAACATACATACACACGTATACTTACACACACACACACACACACACACACACACACACACACACACACACACACACACACACACACACACACACACACACACACACACACACACACACACACACACACACATACACACACACACACACACGTATACTTACAAACACACACACACACACACGTATACTTACACACACACACATACACACACACACACACGCATACTTACACACACACACACACACACACACACATTCCATGACCTTCAACATCCTCTCCCATCTCATGACTCACCTATGATCTTCTGCAGCGCCCCCGCCTTGACGTCACTGAAGGAGGCGAAGAAGGGGTGTGGCTTGAGGAAGTCGGCCCAGAGTAGCGCCGTCATAGAGTTCAGCTGCGTCGACACCGCTGCAGGAGGTTGAGGAAAAGATGCCTTTATCTCTTTGACCTTCTCTATAGCAGCGGTACCAAAAGATGCCTTATCTCTTTGACCTTCTCTATCAGCGGTACCCAAAGATGCCTTATCTCTTTGACCTTCTATAGCAGCGGTCCCCAACTTTTTCTTTCTTTCTTTCTTTACGCCCGCACCCTTAAGAATTTTTTTTTACTGTGTCCTCGCACCCCCTCTAAATTTATAGCTTATTTAAGGATAAAGGAAGTGAATTTATACTGAATTTGATAAACAAAAGAAAATATATTTTTTCATTATATAGTAATATGTTAACATAAATGTACCAGACTATTTGAATAAACCCTTACTTGAAATATCTAAATGTGAAAATCAAAGAACTAACCTTAAAACGTTTATATAAAAGAATTTGAATTCAATGGCTCAATTCTTCCTGTTTCTTAATTATGAGAAATAAATAGATTAATCGCCTGTCTTCAAGATGGACACTTCTCGCATCCCTTGATATGCTATCTCACACCCCTGGTTGGGAAACCCTGTTCTATAGCATGATATTTATGCCTAGATTTTCTCAATGTGATATTGTTATTTAGATTTACTTGTAGGATGTTTTATATGTTGATTTTTAAAATGTTTTGAATATTTGAACACCTGCATCCCAAAAAGTACCTTGGCAGTTGACGCGGCAGATGATTTTAAACATTCAGTTAATTGAACCCCCAATCCTCTATCCATCCCCTCCCAATCATCTTCTATCCTTCCCCAAACCCCCTCCCAATCTTCCCCTAATCCCTCCCAATCCCCCCATACCCTCCCAATCCTCCCCAACCCCCAACCCCAAAACCCCCCCCAACCCCCCAACCCCCAACCCCCCAACCCCTCCCAACCCCATTCCCCACAAACCCCCAAACCCCCAAACCCTCCCTAATCCCCAACCCCAATCCTCCCAAAACCCCTCCAATCCCCATACCCCTCCCCTCCCCAACCCCAACCCCCCAACCCCCAATCCCCAATCCCTCCCCAACCCCCAACCCACAAACCCCTCCCCAACCCCCAACCCAAATCCCCAACCCCCCAAACCCCCATCCCCTCCCCAACCCCAACCCCCCCGTCCCCAATCCTCTCCCAGGAACTCAGAACCGCAGCATAGATCGCCGCGACGAAGATCCCTGCCAGCCCCGGGACTCGCGTCAGCACCGTCAGCACGTAGAGGATGACCACGTAAGCGGGTTCTCCGGCTCCGGGTCTCGCCAGGGGGTCGCACTGGTGGAAGTGGGCGTAGATGGCCAGTCCCGCGAGGTGGATCAGCGCCCGTAGGAATAGCATCCCGAAGGCAGCGAAGTAGATGACCCTAGGATGAGAAAGATGAGGAAATGGAAAATAAATTTTTTTCGGGTGTTTTTTTTTTTTTTTTTTTTTTATGTAGTTATGTAGGGGGAAAATGGGGGAGGAAGATGAGGAAATGAAAACTATGATAGGCTTTTTTTTTTTTTTTTTGACTAATGAATTATGTAACCACTTATTTGAGGACACAGGAACAGGCTTACTTAGTGTCCAAAAATATACATCAATACACTTATTGGTTATCTCGTTCGCCTCGTTCTTAAAAATAGTATTTACGCTATGTTTACATCGAGTGGCTGCCAGATGTACAAAGATGGGATCCGGCAAGTGCACTGAGATATAATTCCGCAATTGTACATCGAAAGCCTTACTTCTGGGCGTCCTGGACAGACTTGGTGCTGAAGAACCGCTGAGTTTGGCTCTGGTTGACGCCGTAGGTGCCGAGGGTGAAGAAAAAGCCGAGAATGATGCAGAGCCAAAAGCTGTGGCGTTGGTAGGGGTCGAGGTCCAGGCTGTGGAGAGCAGGAAAATGGGTTTAAATAAATATGTGTAGATTGGTAGTTGCAGACACACGCGCATATACAAATATAAGCATGCACACACACACACAACACCACACACACACACACACACACACAATACACACACACACACATACGCATACACATACACATAACACATGCACACATACACACAGGCATATGCATACATACATACATATGAGTGTGTGAATATATTTATAAACATACATATATATATACATATACATATATATACATACATCAATACATACAAACACATACACATACCCACCATCACTACATACCCTTACAATGCCCAAAAAAAGACCTACTTGAAGAGCTCCGTCCGGTTGTGGTGGTAGGCGATGTCCCACACGACGTCGAGGCCGCCCACGTTCACAGAGCCGATGATCACGATGGCAAAGACGCCCACCACCATTACGACAGCCTGGAAGACGTCTGTGTACACCACTGCCTTCACGCCTCCCTGGAAACCGCATTAATTTGTACCACAGGAATTGTTATTGTGGTTGGTGATACTGGAATTGTTGGTACTGTTATTTTCATTATTGTTTATGATCTTTACTTTTTTATTTTTGATTATCATTGTCATTATTACGATCATTTTTATTTATTCTTTTCATGATTATCATTATTATCATTATTATCATTCATATCATCAGCATTATTTCATTGATATATCTATATGTTATAATATTCGTAGTAAGTAGTAGTAATATTCTTACTGTTATGATTATTATTATTATTATCACTATTATCATTATTCCTATTTGATAATACCGTCATTGACATTATCCTCAGTACCATTAACCGCGTAAATAAAAACGGAGAGAGATAAATAAATAAGTAATGATACACGGGCATGAAATATTCCAATTCTCTCTCAGGTGCAGGCAAGTAGGGCTGAGAATGAGCTATTTGGGTTTATGCGTTCTTGACTCGATAAACTTTTAAAAATAATTTGTTTTATGCTAATACTGCAATTGGCGGCCTCTCTTTTCAATATAACTTTTCCAGCGCGTTCTTTTACTCAAAACACGTACACGTACATATACGCACACGCACACGCACACACTCACACTCGTGGGGGTATATGTATAACAATATGTGTATGTGTATGTATGTATGTATGTATATATATTATATATAAATATATATATATAATATATATATATATATATTATATGTATATATATATATATTTATATATGTACATATATATATTATATATATATATAATATATATTTATATATATATATTATATATATATATATATATATATATATATATATATATATATATATATATATATATATATATATATATATATATATATATATATATATATATATATATATATATATATATATATATATATATATATTATATAATATATATATATATATATATATATATATATATATATATATATATATATATATATATATATATATATATATATATATATATATATATAATATATATATATATATATATATATATATATATATATATATATATATATATATATATATATATATATATATATATATATATATGTATGTATGTATACATACACATACATATATATATAATATATATATATATATATATATATATATATATATATATATATATATATATATAGTGTGTGTGTGTGTGTGTGTGTGTGTGTTTATATAAATGTACCCATGTATGTCAATATGCACTCTACAGACAAGTATCATATAAGTGTAAAGAGATACCACACTTCTCTCTCTCTCTCTCTCTCTTGATTTTTTATACTCTCTTGTTTTGGAATACACTGACTCTGGCACTCTGACACTCATCAGCGTGGCACTCATCGTCTGGCAACCCCTGCGCCCATCCGCTGTCCTTGACCCGTTTCTTCATATACACAAATTAAAATATTCTATCTCTCTCTTTGTTTCCTTTTTCGAACTGAGATCTGCCTCTCATTCATGTTTCCCCACAAGCAGAATGGAAGGCACTCACGATGGCGGAGTAGAATGTGCAGGTGGCGCCCATGATGAAGATGTTGAGGAGGATGTCGAGCCCCGTGAAGGCCTGCAGGGCAATGGAGGCCGGGTACAGCAGGAACCCCATGAAGAAGTAGCCGCCCACCAGCTGCAGCACCACGGTGGCCTGCCGCAGCCACTTGGCGTTGAACCGCTTCTCGATGTACTGAAAGACAACTGTCAATCACCGTGGCGTTCCCTGACTCAGTCATGGTCGAAGACCTTCGACCTGTATATCTTCCATTATGACAAATAAAGTAAGCACCTGTGCTTACTGAGGACCAAGGACACCCCCGACGACAGGCTCCTCGTCCTCACTCACCTCGTACAGCGAGACGACCTCCATGGGGTGGATGATGGGGATCATGACCTTGGCGATGATGACCAGCGCCAGCAGGATCCCCAGGTCCATGATCCACAGCTGGGTGCCGTACGCGTACATCTCGCCCGCGTTGCCCATGATGGTGATGGCCGACACCGTGCCCACCATCATGCTCATGGCCAGCGGCAGGGGCCTCATCTTCCTCGAGCCCATGAGGTAGCCCTCGGGCGTGGCGCGGCGCCCCACGTAGCCCTGGTAGAGGCCGATCACCGCGCTCACCAACACCGACAGCGTCAGGAACAATATGTCCACGATCCCGAGACCCATGGCGGCGGCAGGGAGGAACTACTGCGTGTTCTCTTCACTGTACCCGGTCTCTTACTAAAATTTGAAAAAAAAATACCCTAACTTAATTTTACAAGCAGTGATTACGTCACTTTTTTTCTTTCTTTTTTTTTAAGCTGATAACCCGAAGGGAATTCGAAGCGTCTTCCGGTGATAAATACAGTTCGATAGACGCTTTTCCCACGTTGCGAAAGTGAGAATTAGAGATCCTGTATGAAATCGTGTCTACATTTTTCCTTTTCCATATCCTCATAAGTGCAATACAAAAAAGTAGAAGCAAACAAACAAATAAATAAAAAGACTAAAGTGCCAAAGAAAACGGAGATTTCTGTTCAACGATAATTG